ACATTCAAAGGCTCTCTAAGAATTCAAGTTCTTATTTGTATTGTATTACACAATTGAATATTTTTCCAATGATTAAAAACATGTATGACAATAATCTCATGAACCTATGATGATCTGTCTAGAACAATATGATAAAAATAAAGACAAAAATGGTGAAAAGGGCAGTCACCAACCCGTAAAATATATATAAGGTCAATAAGAAATAATTTTAAGAGTTATTGTGATAAATGGATTTTCCACTGATTTCGGCATGGAACGTTATATATTGCAAAACATGACATGATACAGAAGAAAATTAATTTTAAAATCAGAAAATAACATTGCAAATGCTTCTTTTGGACAATTCACTAACCCCCATTTAATTCATGTGTCTTGTTTAAAATACAATTCACAAATTAACAGCTGTTTCATCGAAAAGTATTATCCACATGGCCAAAATGTAAACAAATCTGTAGAGGGATCTTTAAAGGCTTCTGGGGCAGAGCCCTAAGGGAATTTACTTCGTTTTTATTTTGATAACTCATCTTCAGACCAAGAACTTTCTTTTGACACCCCTACCAAGTTTCTACGCCCAGCCGTTCTCTCAAATTAGTGGAGACAATGTTTCCAATTTAATTTTTAGATTCCCCCATGTTAATCTTATGGGAGAAAATCCAACTTTGTTGGAAGATTCTGCCCAAACTAATAAAGATATCAAAAAACGAAAAACACTTTGCAAAACTACAGATCAGGGCAATTCTTTTGACACTTTAATCATCAAAATCGGTCCAAAAATGAGGGAGGAGTTCTGTTCACAAAAATCGGCTTAGCGTATTATATATACAGGGTGTTGAAAATGTCTGGAACCAACATTATATCTGGTGAGTGGTTAAAGAAAAAAAATGATATTTTGTGTACGGATATACTATGGTTTTACCTATCTTTTGGTGCCTTATGAAAATTTTTACCACTTATAGGGAACGTCCTGTGGAGGATGCAGTAATAAGTTTAAATGGAAGCCTATGGTAAATGATACATCATTTTAAAGGCAATTTTTTTCTGAGTAAGGAGCCACAAGTTTCATCTCAAAAGGACCACCCTAGCAAAAATGACGACTGTTTGAAATTTAAATAACCACTTATAGGGAACGTTCTGTGGAGGATGCAGTAAAAAGTTTTCATTGAAGCCTATGGTAAATGATACATCATTTTAAAGGCCATTTTTTTCTGAGTAAGGAGCCACAAGTTTCATCTCAAAAGGACCACCCTAGCGAAAATGGCGATTGTTTGAAATTTAAAAATTCCGTTCCCTATAAGTGGTTTTTAAAATTTCAAACAGTCGCCATTTTTTCTAGGGTGGTCCTTTTGAGATGAAACTTGTGGCTCCTTACTCAGAAAAAAATGACCTTTAAAATGATGTATCATTTACCATAGGCTTCCATTAAAACTTTTTACTGCATCCTCCACAGGACGTTCCCTATAAGTGGTAAAAATTTTCATAAGGCACTAAAAGATAGGTAAAACCATAGTATATCCGTACACAAAATATCAGTTGTTTTCCTTTAACCACTCACGAGATATAATGTTGGTTCCAGACATTTTCAACACCCTGTATAGATAGATGTGAAAGCTTGGTTAATGAAAATATTGGCACCATTATGTACAGAAATAAATTTTCAATTTATATTGTTTGGTTTATGTTTTATTTTCAATCTTTTAATAGATTTGTATTAATTATAAATTTAAATTAATAATACGCAATTAAATTAAACTAATTAAATGAAATGAAAGTAATTTAAATGAGCGGGTCTCATTATCTCCAAAATGCCCCAACTTCTCTCTAAACCACTTTGACTTTAAAAGCTTAAAAAACAAATAATATAGTATATTTGAAGTATTTTTACAGTTATTGGTTGCGGAGAAAATTAAAACAATTGAAGGGCCACGGGGAAAAACGATCAAAGTCCAATTTTTTGACAAAATTAGTTTCCAAGGGAAACCAGTAGCTTAGTATTGATATAAAACATCTGTGATATCATTCGGGCAAAAAAGATCATAGTCACGAAGTTATATAAACAATAAGATAGGGGCTAACGGGCAAGAATGATCATAGTCCTCGCGCCGACGGGCAAGGGGGATCAATGTCCAGTATGCCCCCTCCACTCACAGTCCCATTCCTGCAGCTGTGTTTAGTTGTCTATGTGCAAACATAACCTCATTTCTTTAACCTAAAACTTTTAATATTGTGTGTGGTGTTGGTGTAGGCCTACTTCAGTTAAAATGTCGAGTGATTTTAGTGGTACAGACAGTGAAGAAGGGACTAGTTTCCGAAGTGATGTGAAGAAAAGGAAGAGTACAGGTAGAATGAAAGACGTGATGAAGAAGCTGCGAGCTTCAACTAATGAATTAGGAGAGGATTGCAAGTGCTTTCGCCATAAATGTTTTAAGGTTATTTCGCCCGAGGAACGGCAGCAAATTATATCTAAATTTAATGCACTGGGTGATTACAACAAGCAGAATCAGTATTTGAGCGGATTAATCAGTGTTATTCCAGTTCAGCGGCGTCGCAACAGAAAGGATGATGCAGAGGCAAGTAATCATGTTTCTTCTTATTCTTATCGTGTACGTGCACGGATCAATGGTAGTGATACATTGCAAGACATTACTGTTTGTCACAAAGGGTTCATAGCCTTGCACGGCATCACAAACCGCCGTGTGCAATCTATTAAGAAACATTTGACTGAATTTGGCAATTTTAAGACAGATGGTCGAGGTAAACACCAAAATAGACCAAATCAATTAAGTGAGGAAACTAGAGTTAAAGTGTTAGATTTCATCAAATCTCTGAAAGGAAGAAAATCTCACTATTCATTAAAAGACACTTCTAAGGTGTATTTACCTGCAGAACTAGATAAAGCCAAACTACACAGAATGTACAACGATTCTAATAAAGAGCACACTATTGGTTTAACAACTTTCCGTGAAATTTTTGATTCCAATTTTAACATTAGCTTTGGATACCCGAGAAAAGATACCTGCAGCAACTGTGACGTATTAAAGTCAGAAATATCTGTGCTAGAAGGAAAAATGCTTAATCCTACTGACGAGGAAACTAGAACATCTTTAGAGAAGGAGTTGCGGATTAAGGAAAAGGAGAAGAAAGTACACTTGGCAAGAAGTGAAAAGTTTTATTCAATAAAGAAAAAGTTTCGTAAAGAATCAAGAAAACATGAAGAACTTGAGGCATTTACTATTGATTACAAAAAAAATCTACCAACCCCAAATATAACTACATCTGATGTGTACTACCGACGTCAACTGAATTTTATTTCCTTCAATATTCATGTACTGTCAGACTCAACCTCAGTATTTTACACATATGATGAAAGTGTCGCTCGAAAAGGGGTGGATGACGTTTGCTCAATGCTGAAACACTTCTTTGAAAACATTCTGAGCCCAAAAGTAAAGCACATTGTTATTTTCTGCGACTCATGTGGGGGGCAGAATAAAAACTTTACAGTCATACGTTTTCTGCACTACACAGTTCATACACTTAAGCGATTTGAAAGCGTAAAAGTGGTTTTCCCTATAAGGGGTCACTCTTATATGGAGGGGGACAAGGACATGAGTCTTATAAATCCCAAATCTTACACAGAAACACCTGACGACTGGAGGGACGTCATCAGAAATAGTCGAATCAAGCCATCACCTTTCACTGTAGTAAATTGTTCTTCAGAAGTAAAGTTTGAAACTTGGACGGACTATTTATCGGGACTTTATGTTAAAAAATGCCCTATGCCTACAAGACCAATACGGATTTTGAAAATTGAACAAAGTCAGAAAAGATTTGTACTTCACAAGGAAAACTACTTCGGGAGCTATCTAAAGGCGGCTTTCGTTCAAAATCAAGGCACAGAAAAGAAAAAATCAAGAAAGGCTGTAAGTCAAAGTGAACCAAAGATACTGGGGAACCTTTACAACGGTAAACTACCAATCAAACCAGCAAAACTGAAGGATCTTCTTCATTTGAAACAATTTTTGACAAATGCTAATTTTTCGACAGTGGCATTTCACGAGAGAGTCACGAGAGAATAAATGTTTAGTGGATGTGCCGGGGATTGAACCCGTCCCTCCCGCACCGAAGTCCGAGACGCTAACCTAACCACTAGGCTAGCAACACAACCAACTAGTGACCAGCTATTGACTAGCGAGTCTATCTATTTTTATTTATTTTACATTCCAACGGACAAACTCCATTTTTACATTCTTAATTACAACAAGACAAGATGGAAAAAATATTTAATAACAATAATAGCATTGGCTCTGGCCTTAGTGAAAATACATGCATTTAGATATAAAGAATGTACATAATGATTCAAATTGTAAATAAATAACATAAGTAATAAATAGATAGTGAAATATACAAAAATAACAATACAAATAGACTACTATTTACAAAACAACAGCCTTGCCAAGAAAGTCCCTGCATTTTGATATAAATAGTGTACATAATGATTTGAAATATAATGGCCCTTCTGAGACTGCGGTCTCAGCAATTCCTTCGAAGTTGTGAGTCACGATCTGCTATGGCTAAAAAGCAAAGCAAAGAAAGTATGGAGTTGGAGGAGCTGTACTCGACACCTTGTCCTGCTACATGGCCGACCCGACCGCAAGCAGGTTGCCTCCCTAACGGTGAAATGCCAGCTTGAAATCTGACCAAATTGAAGGGATCCCGTTTGAAACACTATTATATGTTTTTCAGACTTTCTCTGAAGGTACTGTAACCATAGAAAATTAAGAAAACTGTGTACACTGTTCCTTACTTCCTATGGCTGAAACCTGAAACCATTGACTAAGGAAATAAAACTTTATTTCCCTTGTCTGTGCTGAAACGAAACACACCTGTTCACTGTTCTATAATCAGCTGTGAAGAAAAAGTAGTTGTCGAAACAGAATAGCAGAAAGCAGAGAAGCAGAAGAAGAGCGTAGCTATCAGTTAGCGCAGGCAGAACAGGAACAGAATAGAAAGAAAAGAAACAGAATCATAGTTCGCAGATGTGGTGAAGTTCGCCGAATGTCAGGAAAACATTTCCCTTCGCTATTCATTTTGTTCGGTTGTCTTGTGAAATTCGATATGCATATTTAATTTGTGGCCAAATTATTTTTACTTACCAGTATGACCGATAATTCGGTGGTCGAACAGATCAAGCACTACCAAAAAGATATCATAAAATGTCCTGAAAATTCTAAAAGGGTAAGTTCCTATGTGATCAGAAATTTCTTCGCCCAGCATTTAAACATATTTCACAGAAAGCTGATTTAACTTATCTCTGTTCTCCCATCCTGTTAATTTCAGCAAATGTTAAAAATAATTATTAGTATATATCTTAGCAATCGAATTGCTTGTTAGTTCTATTTCACTTATTATTATAGTAAAAATATTCAATTTAAATCCTTTTCAATGAAGCATGTCAATGTGGCAACTTTCAAGGATAAGTAGGCCTAAGTTAGCTTAATACTAGTAGCCTACTACTTTCAAATAATTGCTTTTAAGTTAGGGTAGCCTATATAATTTGAATTTTATTTCTCGATGCTCAGCCATGCTATTTGAGCTATGAAACATCATTCATGTAGATGATTGATGTTTAACCTTATTTTACAAGTTCTTAATATTTGATTAAGAATATTATGTTTGGCTTAACTTAGTTGGTTATTAAATCTTTCTCAAGAGAATGTCAAACCCAAAATGTTTTAACCAACAATAGATTAGGGCAAGTCATTCAGATAACTTTTTTTTAAACTTTTACTAAACTTAGGTTATCCTAACTTGTAAATTTGTATAGGCTATATATTAATTGTAAATAGTTTGACTCTGTCTATCCAGCAAGAGCTGGTCATGGACGTCGAGGGAGGTAAGTTAACTCAGGTAATTTAGGCTATTCCTTGTCTCAAATTTTCTCTTCATGGTGAATAACTAATTTTCTTTGTCATAACTTAAGTCAATCGATTTTACTTCTCCTGGGTACACTTCCATATCTGTTGGCACAAACAACCAAATGAGTAATATTGATAATTCGGTTGTTTAATTCGATATATTGATCAATATTTTCATTCGGTTTTTGTGTCAACGGTATTTCTGAACTTTCTAGACTTTTCTTTTAAACGTTTTTAAATTATTCCTACAATCTTAATAAACAATAAAATACCTTTAAAACATTTTTTAAGGTGCAAAATTCACTGCGAAAATATACGGAACTACTTTCTCAATGCGCGGAGCATATCGCACGTCAAGAAACAAGGAGCAGAGTGATACGGACCGGTGACTACTTATTTATTTTATTTTATTTTTACCTTCCAACGGTCAAGAACCAATTTACAATATGTTGTATAGATGACTTAATTTAACTCAAACATATACATACAAAAATAATTTTTGACAATGACATGCAGTACAGTAATTTAAGTAAATACAATTTGAGCAGTATCAAAATAGACTTACACAAAGCAGAACTTTAAATAACAACCAATGAACAAGAACAACAAACAAGAACAGTAAGTGAAAATATAAATGAACGACAAACAATAAATATATGAGTTTCAACAATAACAATAAATATACTATGAGTTTTAACAATAACAATAATATATGAATTTCAACAATAACAGTAGGCCTAAATATAATTTCAACAATAACAAAGAAAACAAGATTTTTAAAAAGAGAGAAACATTCATTGGTTTGAAACAAATATAATAACAGTAATTTTGGGTGGTAACTATGATGAGCGGTGGAAGTCAGCCAGTACCCTCTTCCGGATTGTTTTTTGGCTGTCTGTGAAGATGTCAAAAGTGGCACAGAAGACATTCCCATTTCGAAGCATCCTTACAAGGGGTCCATGGTACAGGTATCCACGTGCATAGTGCCTCCTTCCGAATAGGTCCTGGGATCTTGTACCAGATGGAACACGAATGTCCACTTCAGACAGCAAGGCAGGACAATCAATCAACCCGGTTACGAGATTGGAGAGGAAGACCATATCAGATGCACAGCGCCTCGCCCGAAGATCCTGGAGATTTAGGTTTTCCTGCATTAGAGCCACAGGCACATCCCGATACTGTAGACTTACTCTTGCACCTATTTGTGTTGCCAGCTGATTAGAAATAAGAATTAAATAAGCGATATATCGAACCGCATCGAAATTGATATTTAATACCTCACAGGTTATATTTTGAATTACATTGACGGTAAGTTACAGTAAGTTATTAGCCTACACATTAATAAAACACAGATTGAACACTGATCTAGTTTAGGCATGTGGGGAAGGTAGGTCGGGGTTTATGAGTATTCGTGGCTCCATTAAGTGTTTTGAAGTAAGGTTAGATTAGGAAGGTAATGTGTAGGTTATAGGTAATCGAGTTGTTTATTTGTGTTGCACCATATTGTTTTTTATCTTTTAGAATCGTTTCCCCGTTTAAGCAACTACCTATTCAAAGGACTTAATGGAGCCACAAACTCTCATAAACCACGACCTGCCTTCCCCACATGCCTTTTCTGCTGTAAAACCAATTTATGTAACCATACAGCACGTTTGTTAGGTTAGGTTGCTTTAGAATAGTTTCATTTTATCAGTCAGTTGGTAACACAAACCATTCTAGGAGCCCAAGAGTAAGTAGTCACCAGTCTGTATCACTCCGATCCTCGTTCCTCGGCAAGCGATGTGCTCCGCGACTTGAGAAAATAGTTCCGTATATTTTTGTAATTTGCAGTGGTTTCCGCGCCTTATAAAAATGCTTTAAAGGTTTATCAATATCGTAGGAATAATTTTAAAAGTTTTAAAGAAAATTCCAGAAAGTTCAGATTTACCGTGGCAACAGATATGGAAGTGTACCCCTGTCCCCTTCTCCTTGCTTAAATGAATTGTTACAAAGTTGCAGTAGCCTTATAATTTCTTCCTGATGATTAACGTCAAGGATTGAATTAAAATCTAAGATTTGTGTGATGAAAGCCTGAGTAAAATTTTCGGATGGCTGTTTCTGAAAGCAAATAACGTAGGCTAACTTATTGGCCAAGGCCTTAACTTATTAATGATGTAATGCAATTTTATCCACTTTATGATAAGTTAGTCTTTAAGATGCAGTGTCTTATAGCCTATAGCCGATAACTTAACTTATTAGGCTACCTACATCAGCTTACCAACTTAAATATGTTAGTCAGGTTCAAGTGTAAGAAATTTGCCTGGATAAATAAAGATTTTTTCATTTCATGGGTACAGTTTCGTAACTGGGCTACGCCAATATGTAATGTCGATATTGTAGCACAACGGATTGAGTTATCAAATAATTAAATAACTTACGTCATCAATCCATAAATTTCTGTGGAGTACGCGTTTCAACCATCAGGTCATCCTCAGCTCCACTGTCATATTGTAGACATATTGTAGCCGTAAACCTGAGCCCGTCCAGCCGTGCGCACGGTGTTATATAATAGTATTTCGTTACCTAAATCTTTCGTACGTGTCGTGTATGTGTTGTTAATGTAAAATGTGTTTGGACTATTTATTTAAATCGACGCTGTTGCTACAAAGCAACATAGAAACAGATTCAACCTAGTGACAGTGGAGCTGAGGATGACCTGTTGGTTGAAACGCGTACTCCACAGAAATTTATGGATTGATGACGTAAGTTATTTAATTACGCCAATATGGATTGAAAATATCGATTAGTAAACCTTCATTTGATTTTTTATTCATCAGCAAGTTTGTTCAGTTAGGTTAGTTATTAACAGTTTCATTTTATAATTATATAAACTTAGTTTAAAAAATCTAATGAAGTTTTACTAGGTAATCAAATCAATATTTTCAATCGATATTAGCTTAGCCTAGTTAAGATACTGTAGACTACCCATTGTTATATCAAGGCTAACTTAAATAGGTATGCATTTTCAATTTTTAATTCAAATACGGTATTACAATTAAATTGCATATATAACTTAGGTAAGTTAGGCACTTATAGGTTTTCAAAACAACTGGCTACAGAATATACAAATGAGTACCGGTAGGCATAAATCTGTTTTAAACACTGATATCTCAATAGCTAACTTACTTCGCCTTGCTAAAAGGAAAAAGTTTTTGCAGTAAGTAGGCCTATGTTGGTATAGGCCCTAATATGCAGTATTTTTGTTATAGTCTGGTTAAGTTATATAATTGTAATACCGTTACTTTTCAGTCTGGTCTAAGTTTTGCACATGGGGATAAAAATAAAAATAAATAAAAGCGAGCTATTAGCGCTTAGAGATGTAAGTTTTTAGCATGTAAAATAAACCTTAAGAGTCCATTTCATGATTATGATTTCTCTTTACGTAGACTTCCTTACCGTAAGGAATTAAACAGGTCAGGGTAATTACTTTCTTTGTCTCAGTGACTTACTGCTGGCCGGAACTCTAATAATTTCTTCTTGAGAATATATTAAGTTACTAGCTGTAACCCGCGGGCTTTGCCCCGTTTAACTTCTTCATTTTCAAGATTATCTCGTTCGCATGGCTCAATCACGTTCTGGTTGAAGTTTGTTCGCTACGCTCACTCACCTTTAGGTTGGAGCTTGTTCGCTACGCTCACTCACCTTTAGGTTGGAGCTCGTTCGCTGCGCTCACTTGCCTTCAGGTTAGCTCGTTCGCTACGCTAACTCGCCTCCAGGTTGAAGTTCGTTCGCTACGCTCACTCACCTTTTGGTTGCAAATTAGCTGTTGTCATAAATGTAAAAGAAATAATAGTGCTGCACCCTGTTGGTAATCCTTGTAACTTTAATGCTATTGAACATCATAGAACAGAACCAAATTGTTTAATTGAAACAGCTGTTAAGATTCAATAATTCCATTTCTCATAAGGTTAACATGGGAAATTCCAGAGCCACTGGGGCGGAGCCCGAAAGGATTTTTGAAATAAGAATATGCCTATATGTTAATCGGGAATGTGAGCTATCATCATGCCAAATTTCAGCCTAATCCGACCAGTATTTTTTGCGTTCACTTGTCACAAACATACATCCATACATCCATACATCCATACATCCAAACTTTCTCATTTATAATATTAGTAGGACAACAGTTTGTATGATACACAGCAAATTTTGTTTTGAGTTTTTGAATATTAGTAATTTTATCTGATTTTATAGATTTATTTCATTCATAGAGTTTTTCCATTATTTTTAGATGATCCGTTGCATTGAGCGACTGATGGTACTACCTGTGACCATCTCTCACCTACAAGAGACAGGTGTCGGTCGTTCTGTCAATGAGTTACGCAAGTGTGGAGGAGAGGTCGGAGCTGCTGCTAATGCTCTGGTCTGTAAATGGAAAAGCATGGTGCAAGCAGAAGAAGATAGTGATGCAGAGTCAGAAGTTGAAGAAGATGTGCCCAAAGAAACTGTGCGAGTTTCCTCACCTGATGTAAGAAACAGCCCTTCAGTAAAAAATGATTCGGTTGATAAACACAAGAAACCCCAAATCAGTGAAGAGAACAAGAAGCAAAAAACAGACCATAGTAGTAAAAAAAGACAATCTTCTCATTCAGAAAGCAGAAGTTCTGAAAAAACACTTGCTGAAAAACATGATCATAAGTCACACCGAAATAAACTGTCAAGGTCAGAACATGGATCAGAATCTGACTCTAAACATAGTTCAAGTCATAGATCTAAATCTGACCATGGTTCAAGATCCAATAATAGCCGTAGATCAGAGTCCCAATACAACGGAGATTCTAAGACTGAAAGGCGAACTTCCAAGTCAATAAATAGTGATAATAAATCTAGTAAGTCCACTTCAATAGAAAGTAAAAATGATGATATTAAACAAAATAATTACAAAGAAAAAAGAAGAAAAGAAGATAGTGGAAGTCGGAGCGAAAAGGAAAACAGGAGAAAAGACGAGAGGTCTCATTCAAGTAGTAGCTCGAAGAAGTACGATGCAAGGAGGATTGAGTCTGAATCCAGTGATGATGACAGTGTTTATAAGCCTAGAAATAAAAAAAGGAAAAAGTCGGATTCTGAAGAAGACAGGAAATCAGAAACTGAAAGCAGGGGAAGGTCAGAGTCAGAAGAAGATATTAAGCCTAGTGACAAATTTAGTGGTCGTAGTAAACATAGAGAATTTATAAAACGTGAGAGTTCAGAAAAAAGTGACGCAGAAAATGATTCTGAAGAAGAAGAAAAGAGTCCTAGTAGCGTACATTCATTTCCTCAAAATATATCAGACAATGATGAGGATATGTCTAACAGAAGCAGCCCTAACAACAAAGGCTTAAGTGACAACGAGGTTGAAAGTGAAGGTAGGAAAAGCTCCTCAAGATGTGAGGACAATGAAGAAAGTAATTCTGACAAAGATAGTGATTCCGATGAAAAGTTATATTCCCCCGAGAGAGAAATTTATGTTCCAACCAAAATTAAAAGGGAAAAAGAAAGTCCACCAAGGCATTCTAAGTCTTTAAGTCCACAAAGGCATTCTAAATCTTCTAGTGATAAATATAAATCAAGTCATTCAAAATCTAGCCATAGCTTATCTCACAAATCCAGTAGCCACAGTTCATCACATAAATCGGATAGTCGGTCTACAAATGGAAAAATATCTAGTAATAAAAAAGAGGGAAATGAGCATGTTAAAATCAAGAAGGAAAAAGAAGAAAGTGATAATTTAAAGAAGCGTAAAGAAGAAAAGTCTAGTGAAAGCAAAACTCATAGGTCAAGTAATTCACATTCAGATCCGAATGAAGGAAGCAGTTCTAACAAAGCTGAGAAAAAGGCCAAGATTAAAGTAGAAAAACAAGATGATGGCAGTATTGACTGTGTGTCTGGTAAGTAAACTTCATAGGTCTTACAATTTCAATTTTTCAACATATAATTCTGGTAATTACTGGCTCTAATTTTCATTAGTCAGGGATGCACAGGTGCGTAGTTTACTGAATATAAGTTATGAGTGAGTGTGGAATGGAGTGAGATGGTAGGCCTATGTGTAACAATTGTAAGTAGGCGTAACTACATTTTTTATTACTGGGTATTATCGTGCAATCACTTAGTCTAAATAGTTTACAGAAATATTACGAATCCAAATTGGTAGACGGTGTCTGTGTCACTTTACAAATTCCAGGGCATAGTCTAAACCAATGAAATTCTCTTTTAAAATTAGGCAATTTACCTACTGAAAAGATTAAAATACAATCTTTTGAAGATATAATTTGATGTGTTTGTACTTTATCTTTGAACTTTTCCAGGTGCAAGTTTTGCTGATGCACTAATGGGATTGTCTGAACTGAAGAAAAAACAGTCACTAAAGAGAAAGTCCACACCATCCTCACCGGAAAAGCGATCTCGGCCTACTGAGAAATCAAGTGATGGGAAGTCGAAAATCTCTATCAAGTCTGAAACTCGCACTTCTACTTCATCGTTATCATCCTCAAGTAGCAAGACGAGCTTCAAAGAGGTATGATTCTTAACTTATACAGACATTTAGCAAAACTTAGTAACAATATTACTTAAGGATAAATTTAGTAAGCTTTAGGCCTACTAATACATTTTGCAAAATTGCCAAACCAGTGTTAACCGTTGGATTGTTATATTCAATCAAACCACCGTTTTTATTTGAAAAAATGTATGCCGTATTAAAACTCTCATTGGAGGCCATTATAGAGTAAAACATGACCGTTGTAGGTTAAATTATGATGTACATACTTGCAAGACCACCAAACTATTTTGTGTCTGGTCACTGACATTTTCGGCTAATTGTATTAAGTGTGCTAACTATTGTTTCATAGATTTCCTAACAACGTCCAGACAGCTTACATTTGTTTGTTCAAGCCTTATAGGATCAACCATCTGGGTGCAAAGATTCTGAGTCTTTTCACTTTTATTGTAGCAATTTAGGAGATCCTACACTCATTTTTCCAAGAAGCTGTTTCTGTTTACTTTGAATCCAAATACAAACCGTATAGCACACTTCTGAAGTCTTCCGCTGCAAGATTCAATTTGGGTCAAGTTACATTAGGATGTCAAGTCATTATTTGGGTCAGATTTTGTTAGGTTTGTTAATTTCATTTGATTATTTTTTTAAATGCATATCAATTAACCATTTTAACCTAACATAATATTACCATTTGCAGAAGCAGTAAGGGGCAGCTGACAGATTTTTACTTGAACAGTAGTTGTCTCAAAAAACTACTGATTACTTACATTTATTAATTACTTATTTAATAATCTAAAGCCTAAGTAGGTCTATTTACCTTGCTGTGTTGGCCTACTTGAACTGCAACTGTGACTAGCAGCAACAGGAAACGCAAGAGTACAAAACCCTTTAACAAGAAAACACTAACACACATCCAAGGCGTTTCTGCACGCAGACAGTCATATTTTAAATGTTCAGTCAGACCTCGGGCACGTAATACAAAATTGTATATATGAAGTGGAGGTAAATACAATACAATTAACCAACCCCAATTGACCATTTTAGCCTGATCTGCTGTCAAAGAATATAAAGTTGGAACCTCTTGATGTGGATCTCAAATCCACCTTGCCGGAGATATCTCCGCACTACAAGCCCCTCCCCCACTACTCCCCTCCCGACAGTCCGGCTGGGAAACGCAACAAACAGCTCACTCAAGAGGAGGCCCTCAGTACGATCATGTCCAACAAAAACCAGAGGTAAGATAATAGGATTTGTAGTTTTGTTAGTGTACAACACATATTAATTTTGCAAATTTTTTGCTGCTTTTAATTGTAAATTTTTAGTTGATTTAGCCTACATAATAATAGTGTTGTTTGTACCATTAATAATATTGTTTTTGGTGTAATAGTAAATCATTTGTTGCATAGAAATTACAATAAATGAATGATTATGTAATAATACTACATATAATAATAATAATTAGGAATCAACTTAAATATTGGTGATGGTTGGAAATCTTCATGGACGTTGCCATGATCGCTTGAGATATCACAAACTTTGCCGGAATTTCAGGAAATCATCACGGATTATGCTGTGATTGCATGAGATGTTCGCAACATTTCTGCTAGTACAGTTTTACCAGTTTTGAGAGTCAGTCTTTCGTAAATTTAGAAGAAATCGGTATAACAAATTATTGTAAATAACCACTGAGAAGTAAGGAACAGAAGAGAGATTCAATGGTACATTTGAGTGGTGTCTAGCACTAGAGTGCTGGTGACTAGGGCAAAGTTCTGAACCCCCCCCTCACCACCCTCACCCTCATGTACTACAACGCTCATTGTGGAGGAAGACCCCAAGCCTTGCGCGATATGAATTTCCCCACAGTGCTCGCCATTCGGGTTCTTCCTTGCTCGTCACAAGTACATTTCCGCCCCAACATATTAGAGCTGAAAGCACTGTTGTCCCATAAGCATGAATCCACTGTTCCTTACTGCTCTGTGAAATAAGGGTGCAGACATAAGTTCATAATATGTTCTTGTTGTGTATTTACATTTTAATGTATTCATGATTGAGACTAGTTTTTACTCATTAAGTTTATACTTAAATTAATTAAGTTCTCAAAAGCTACTGTTGATGCAAGGACACTCTAAGGCAAGGATAAAACCTACCTTTGGCATAGGTTGAATATTAAAATTGAATAAAAAATTACCATGCCAAGACTTTTATGAAAATATTTTTTACTATTGTAGAAAGAAATTAAATAATCACCAAATGAACAAAAATATGGTATTTAGGGTGATAGTGACTATAATACTATAACAATGAATATTAATACTTTACATACACTTATTTTTATTTTGTATTGTAGAGATAGACCTACTAATTTGTTTAGTTAATTTTTTTAAATTTCAGAACTAAGGGGCCCCCCTCTGATAGGAAGTTTATATTAAGCCCCGGGGCAGCATCTAAAGCCGGCTCTAAGTAAACATTAAAATAAGTCAAATAAATATCAAAATTGTAATTATTAAATGTATGTTTTAATTACAGGACAAAAGTGTTTTCTGGCAGTAAATCAGGATATTTGAAGGTCCCTTCGCTGTTTGACTTGTGTATACAAGTTTTAAGAGACAATATTGAAGGTAAGATAATTATTTTATAATTTGTCGACGTCATGTTAAAAAAGATATTAGACTACACTGTGAACTTATTATTAACGAATATTGTTATTTTATTGAGAAGTATTATGAGCTAGGCTACTGTATTGGTTTTTGTGATGGTTGTATTAACAGTTATCAAATTATGAGTTCAAAACTTCCAAAATCAAACTTCAATTTTAAAATATTTAACTAGTGTTATTATTTTATTTAAGGCTATAAGGGCAATAAATAATTAAATAGCTCTGAAATGAGCAAAACTATGGACTAACAATTAATTTTAACCTTTGCAAAAACAAGTAAATCTTGTAAAAGTTACACAACAGGCCAATATTAAAACACCCACATAGTATAAGAACCAGTCCATCTAAGCCCTGTTTCAAAGTCCTTTAACATTGAAATTTTTGAATAATTAAAGATTGGAAGGAGAAAATGGAAATGTGAGCAAAAGGTTTAATCATTGACTACCGGTACAGTATCTTATTAGTCAATGGTTTAATGTAAAGTGTAATTTAGAGGCAACAAATCTGGCCTTGAAGAAGTAAAAACTCAATTGGATAGGTTGAAAGCGTTATGGTAAACACATTTAAAGGATTAGTTTTGTCACATCACGTAATGCTACAAAGTGGTTCAGGGAGCGCCTGTAGCACAGTAGACACTCACTAATTTGGCACGTTAAGGACTTTTGTAGTGCTTAAACGCCTGAAACGCTGGATTGCTCAGTCTAAGAATAGACGTTGCTAAAAAAGCAGAAATGCTGCTAAAATCAAGAATCAAATATATTACTCTACTATTTTCCCATGAATTGTGATTGCTCAGTTTGCAACACCTTGTGTCTCAATATTGTTTAAGATGTGTGAACTCTGCCAAATATGTCCAGAAGGCTTACTTAGAAAAAACCTTACACTGATTCTGGCTTTTTGACTGTTGCTGGAACTGAGAAGGTTTTCTTATAGATTTTCACAAATGACAGTTTTAATTTTGCGTTTGCAGCACTGGAGTACACTGGAGGTGTTCCTTACGACCTGTTGAAGCCTGTCCTAGACAGAGCCACAGCCTCCCAGCTGTTCCAGTTAGAGCACTACAACCCCTACCTGGTGGAGGATACGGACGGCTTGTGGAAGTTCCATTGCAACAAGGACTTCCGCGGCAAGGAACCCGACGAGTTTGAGACTTGGCGAGAGTTGTATGTGGTGAGTTTACTTTCAAATTTTTTCCTTTTAATTTTGCTGCCAAGTTTTTTGTTTCACCTTAGCTTATAGACTGGTGTTCACTTCGGGAATTTTGTTTTATCGTTTGTGTACAACGCCAGTAGCTTTTTAGATTATTTTATATGTAACTGTTCACATTTTGTTTTTTTTACTTCCTGATTTTCAGGATGAAACAAAATGTTTCCCGGTGTATAAAGAGGGTTTATTTTTAGAATCTTGAGTAAAAATTCTTGCAGGTAACAATAATGACAAACAATTCAATCCCAATATTAAAGACGTTATTGTCACTCGCGACTTGGCAAAATCTATGACAAATCCATAACTTTTATTCGCCAAAGTAAAACGGGAAAATAAGACTAATAATGTAAGGGTATACTGCAGTACTTACGCCTGTCGATACTTATTTAGATTTTTTTTTTTTTTTTTATCTCGCTCGTTGCGAGTCGCATCCACGCCTTAAGCTTGCCGCTGGTCCGCTGTTTGGTCTCGGGAGAGGGTGTTTAGCGAACGTACGCTTGCCGTCAACTGTCCTAATTATCCTCTACTTCTACTGTCCACCGGTCTCAGCGCCCCCACCATCGCTATGTCAGCGCCCCGAGGTCGCAGCGGCCAAGTCACGAACTAGGACACTTGGACAAGTGGACAACTGGACATGTTTACTTCCGATTATTGTTGTCGAGCGCGCTTGAGCACTTCGCGGCCTTAAAATAATTAAAACGAACCCCCTAATAAAATTTGACCATTACATCAGAACAAATCCCATAACGAGAAAATCTCAAATCAAGTGTTATTCCGTCCCTTGGATGATGCTTGAAAATATATTGTTCCCGAAAATATCACAAAATTTCAGGACTATGTGATCCCTAATTACTACGGTATCTAATTCGTTTAGAAAAACCAACTGGTTAGAATTTTGCCTCACTTCTCAGATCTACTCGTTGATATCTCAATTTAACAATGGTTTAAAGTAGCCTATTTAAATTACTTTTTACAAAAATTTAAATTGTATTTTAATAACTTTTTTATTTGCAAATTTAAATGTTATCTCAAAGACTTATCTGCTTTTCTACAAAAATTAGAATAGTTAGGATAGTCAGAATTGCGCACATGACTAACAAATAAACAAAGTGTGAACATCTCCCCATATTATATTATTTATCTCCTGCAATCGTCTTAAAAAAAAATATTTAACAACATGTCTATATAGTAAGTTACAGTCAGCCATGTTTGAGCTGTTGTGTGTTGTTTCAGCGACTGCTTGACGAGAGGGAGAGGAAGCTAGAGGCTCTGAAGGCAAACATAACACAGTCAATGGCCAAGAGCACTCCTGTGAGGCAGACCAAGCTGGCCTACGTCGACAGTGTGGTCAAACCTCCCAGGAACATTGCTAAGAAACAGGTTTGTCTTAGTTGCATACCTATCTGACAGAAACCCAAATCACAAGAGGTACTGCTCTTGTGGTCCGTGGTTTTACACCTTTCACCGATAGTTTTACTATGTGATAATGCTGTGACTCGGTACTTCAAAGCACAACTTAGAATGAAGGTTGTTAGTCTCTTATCTATCTAGAAATTTATATGTATTTCGGGCAGAAAGATCTTTCTTTGTATTAGAAAATTGCCTTCTCTTAAAACCATGCAAAATGATGATGATGATGGTTGTTTATTCACCAAATTCTCACTACTCCTAATTTATTTATTGTTGGTAAAATATAGAATTTTGGTGTATGAGGTACGTGAGGGAGCAGTACAGTAAAACCTCGATTATCTGGGGTAGTTGGGGGAAGGGAGAATACAGATAACCGAGAACCACAGTTAATGGTATGTTATACAAAAAACGACCTTAAAAATGCCGTAGTAACATATAAATTAGACATTAATGTCATACTTTGGATTTTTACGTAAACAAAACTCAATATTATGCAATCATGATATTTTGAAGTCATTAACCATGGTTCAGTTTTATAAACGGTCAGTTGAAGAATCACAGCTTCCTTAAACTTAAACAAATTTGCTAATCACTGTAAAGTATTTCAATAATTTAACATGTAAAGAACAGTTTATAAGGCTGCTAGTGATAGGCTTTAAATGCTGTTTTAGAACTATAATTCAACCACAGCTGTTAAATATAAGCGCACTCTACTGTACTGATTATATGTACAAATTCAGCTATTATAAAATGAGGATGTATTTCAGATGAAGTTCGGCACAGGCAAGGCAGTCAAGCATGAACTCGTATCCAAGGCGATGGTGGGGGCAGCTAGTAGCAACCCCGCACCCGCTGCAGTTCCTGTCCCCGCTCCCCCCGCCTCTGCCAGATCTAGTCACTCCAACGCCTTCCCCATCCCAAATTTCTGTGAGTACCCCATGTAGTTTAGTGGTTATAGTACTCACCTTTATATCTGAAGGTTGCTGGTTAGAATTCAAGCAAGATAGATTTTTTTTAACCTGATGCCTTGTCATTTAGTCCAGGACCTGACTAGGTTTCTGTGTGCATGTCGTGTATAGAGAATTTTGCTTTTGCATTTCAATATAGGTGTATTAGGAAGCGTTTTCCACTCGGGTGTCAAGTTCGCACCTGGTACGTTTTCGAGCTATGACGTCATCAAGATGGCGGCTCGGCAATTTTTAAATGCGTATATTTCGCAAACCGTTTAATGGATCGGGATGATTCTTTTTTGTTTGAAAGATATTTTTACAAGCTATCTTTTTTGTATTTACACATTTGTTGTAAACTTAATATTTACCGCAGAATATTGATAAACTTCATTTTTATTGTTATTATATTTATTGTTTTGCTTATAACTTCTTAACCGCTGATAAAATCAAATACCACCCGTTGCAAAAGTTGCAGATAATTCTATACCCTTTCCAATGATACCAAACAATATGTGATTAGACCTAAAAATAAAGCAAAGAGATTGAATAAACCGTAAAATACACTGAAAGTGGTGTACGGTCCGGGAAAGATTTAGTCCTGGACATGACTAGGGTTCTGTGTGCATATCGTGTATAGAGAATTTTGCTTTTGCATTTCAATATAGGTGTATTAGGAAGTGTTTTCCACTCGGGTGTCAAGTCCGCGCCTGTTACGTTTTCCAGCTATGACGTCATCAAAATGGCGGCTAGGGCAATTTTTAAATGCGTATATTTCGCATACCATTTAACGGATCGGGATGATTCTTTTTTTGTTTGAAAGATAATTTTACAGGAAATGTTTTTTGTATTTACACTTTTGTTGTCAACTTAATATTTATCTCACTATATTAAAAAAACGTGGTTTTTAATATCATAGTTTTTGAATTTTTCCTCATAACTTGTTAAACGCTTGTAGAATGAAATAACTACCCATTACAAAAGTTGTAGATAATTTTATGCCCTTTCCAACGATACCAAACAATTAATGTTTGAAACTAAAATTAAAGCCAAGAGATTAAATAAACCGTTAACTAACACTTAACATGGTAGAAAGTCCGGAAAATATTGCGGCTGGAACAATTTTTCAAATGCGTATATTTCGCATACTGGTTAACGAACCGGGATGATTCTTTTTTTGTTTGAAAGATATTTTTTAAGCCTATCTTTTTTGTATTTACACCTTTGTTGTTAACCTACTATTTGTCAAAAAGTTATAAGCAAAAGTAAAATAAAAACAACAATTAAATGTACATTTATTAATATTGTCGGATAAATAGTAGGTTAACAACAAAAGTGTAAATACAAAAAAGATAGGCTTAAAAAATATCTTTCAAACAAAAAAAGAATCATCCCGATCCGTTAAATGGTATGCGAAATATACGCATTTAAAAATTGCCCTAGCCGCCATTTTGATGACGTCATAGCTGGAAAACGTAACAGGCGCGAACTTGACACCCGAGTGGAAAACACTTCCTAATGCACCTATATTGAAATGCAAAAGCAAAATTCTCTATACACGACATGCACACAGAACCCTAGTCAGGTCCAGGACTAATTGGACTATCGATGATGTTAACTAACAAAAAGTCAACGTTAGTTAATGAGGACTTGAACCGTTCGCTTGCAAAAACAAAAAGACCAACAGTGTGTAAACACAAAAACAGTTATGAATTAAGGATGTTTAGAGCTATTAAAGACTTTTAGGTTAAATAATTGTTTTTAAATTACTCACTAAGCAAGAATACCTTAAGGAAGAGGGAATGGATACACAACACAATATAGAACCTCAGGATCTCAGGAGAAACTTCCAGACAGTTGACAGTACACATAAAGTTAACAACACAATTAGCATTTCAACCCTACAATGTGAAGGAAGTACGGTATGGTACAGTAGGTCTTTCTCCCTCCAGTTGGCATACAATGCCAGACCGGCTACGTTTCAAGCAGTGCTGCTATCTGTCAGTGTTTTAGCGAATTACGTCGACTCTCGTCGTAATGCAGCACATCACCGCACGTTATTTGCTATTCGCCAGACCGAAATTTGAAAGCCGATCGCCTGGCACTTGGGTTTGTTCAACATTGCGCCGCACCAGGGCTACGCCTGCCATTGAGGGGCTGCAGCGATCGTGTTAAATAATTTTAATATTATTTTAGGTATTGATAGTGTGGAAGATCTTCTACTAAACAGACAACTTAATGGAAATTGTGAAGATGATGTAATTAAAGTACATAATATTTGGCCCAAAACAATAATATTTTGTCAAATTATTGGAGACTGAACTTTACTATTTACAAGATACTATATCTGGATTGAATGTTGACATCTAATGTAAGTGCTGGAAATTTTCCACACATAGCCTATTTCTGTATTTATTTTTCAAAACTCCCAAGTTGAGGATACACTCTTACACAAAACCGTTATCCTAAACCTAATTATATTTTTACGATACTAGCCTACTGAATTGATACAATTTTCAATTGGACATAAATTTTAATTCTGCACCTCTCCATGCACGTTTTAAATGTGAAGCTATGATTCTTATTAATTATTCATACTAAGTGTACTTAGAAGTTGAAAGATAACATACGCCATGAGATACGCTTATGAATTTTATGGTTAAGAATTGTCTTCCAATTTAAGCAAAGTAAGGGTCTGTGGCAGTTTGTCGACCTACTACTATATTATAAATGTAGCTTACTTAATGTCGAGCTTTTTAATAAAAGTGAACCCCTACATTTTTTTATTTGTAAATTCAGAAAGCCATTGGAACTCAAAAACTGTCATAAGTGTTTCAGGAAGTTATTTGTTTAGAATTTAACCAAGCCTAACTCTTAATTAAACCACAAAAACCCAAGTTTAAAAAAACAAAGTGATTTAAAGCATGTTTCATATGTTTATAAGTTGTTAATAGTGTATTGTGTATTTACCAAAATCCTTGATTATAATTCATAATTACAGAACTAAAGTGATCATCTCCAACAATCTCTGTGACGTCATAATCAGCGGTAACATAATTATTTTTACATCAGAAAGATTCATAAAAAAATGGATTAAGTTAATCTGGTGCCAATTTGCACAATATAAAAAAATTAAGGAAAACCATGTAGGCATTTTCCAAAATCGCACTATTAGAAAATTATTCCAAAAAATTCCAAAATCATTCAAATCCAAGATTGGGAATAATGATTTTTACATTCAGTCCTGAAAATACCTAGTTTAAATCTGAAAATCACACCTATGACGTTACATTGTCAATATAATAAACTGTTAATATACTAACTCCATGTGTGGAAAGTTAATAAAAATAAAATATAGTAGTATGGCAAACATATTTTTACGTAGGGTACTGCCTTGCTCCTTGCTAACTAGTCATTATTACCATAGACGTATGTTTTGCGGTATCGTATTGCTCTGGTGATTAGACGTCCATTTTTTGCGTTCTATCGACTGACTGAAACTCTTTTCTTATGTGAGTTAGGAAACAAACTCACCAAACTTCATTTATCAACATACTGAGTTTGAAGTCTTACGTTTTACTGTATCACTTCTCACTAAATGTTAGTGAACGGTGGTTGGTCTTAACCAACCGTTTCACTATTGTCTTGGTACAAAATAGAACATTATACACAAGAGAAATTAAGAATCTGAAGGTAAACTCGTTTTGATCATTGAGAGAAATTAGTGAAAGTTGTTAAGGTGTTAAGTAAGTTTTCTCGTTCCTAGCTCATTTTACTTAACCTGATTAATTATAAAATTTCTTTTTTGCAGTGAAAAAGAAAAAAGCTCCCTTAATGCAGAAAACGCTCCAGCTAATGAAGGGTAACCGGTTCAAGAGGTGATAGATTATACAAGTAATTAAAAAAGGCTGAGTATCCGCAGTTTCTGTATAGATCGGACGTAGTAGTTGACTGTGTGAGATGACTATTTTTGTAGTCTGATGTAAATATTTTTTATTTATACAACCACTAAAACGGTAGTACCTAGTAATAGTTGGAGCTGGCGGGTTGTTATGAGTATTTTACAATTTAAAATTTTAAAAATTAGCTTTGCTGATTTCCAGTTCCAGGAAATGTTGTGTAAAGATCACATCCGTTTTTAATGCGCTGTAAGTAGTTTGACAAAACATTGTGATTAAATGTGATTCATCACAACTACCGTGTCACCTTGTCAGGTGTTTTACTTTGCTTTAAGTCTTTTTTCATGTACCTTATTTATTCTTATTAGTTCACATTTTACATTTTTAGATTGTTAGGACCGAATTTAATAGGTTAAATTTTATGATTAAAATCACAGTCCTGACCAGATTGTTTTAAAAACCATTTTTACATGGTGGTACATTAGGAATGTCGTAGAAGCAATTGTAGAAGTATTGTATGTTGTAGATAATATGATTTCTTCACATCACAATTGAAGTTTGAACATTTTCAAAAGCAGTGCCTTTATTGGGTAGGTGACAGTAGCTTAATGGATTTTTTGTGACGTTTAAAATCAACACAGGTATAGGAGTGTGCAAATATATGTAAACAACTTAGAGATGAAACCTGTTTGAAGTGTAAAATTGTGGTATTGGTTATAAAGAGCAACTACGTTTTAAAATATTAATAGAAAGTAAAGTGGTTGATTCAGATTTTTTGGAGAACACGATAGAGTAGCTAGCCTACAAGAGAAAGTTAGAATCCAGGGGCTAATAGATACATGAGAAAAAGTCATTAGGTCCTATAGGACTGTTTCTGAGAGTAGGTTGAAAGTCTATGTTGAAATTTAACTTCTCTTCAATCTATTCTCTGAAGAAGTCCTATATACACACGAGATATCATTGTAATTTTGTATGACTTTTTATTGTCTAGCTTTTTATTAGCTTCTGGACTCTGACTTTCTCATGTAGGTTCTTGCTGAACTCCGATCCTTGTTATTCTTGGTTTGTTGGTTACTCATCACTAAATTAAAATTATACACAATTACTAAAAAAATTAGGTATATTTGGAGCTTTCATCAAAACTCATCTTCAGCCTCTGGTAACATCATATCAGGTAAATAAATAAACTATAATTTGTTATGTTTGTTTATAACTTAATACATGTTTGAATTCTTTTAAGATGAGTTTTGATGAAAGCTCGAAATATACCTATTTTTTGTTGTAGTTGTGTATAATTTTAATTTAGTGATGAGTAACCAACAAACCATGAATAACATTGATAATTCCATCACAAAAAAACATACCAGAATTCGTTTAGCTCTTATCCTCTTCTCCGTAACGTGAACTTTCTTTGAAATAAAAAAAAAACATATATTTACAATGAGGAAATATTTGTACACACCATTTTTAGATTTATTTATAGTTATTGCCTGTTTTCAATGATTTCTAAAAACGTTATTATATTTATTTCAATATTTATGACTTCATTTTAAACAAGTTAGAGGAGATATTTTTAGCGGAAGTGTGAGCCACATTGAGAATAGACTGATTTGTACCATTTAGTAACCATACTGCACCTTAGATTTGCTTAAGCTTTATAAAAAAGTTTGGTTGCCTGTTTATATATATATATTTTATATGTTCATTGTTGTAATTAGTATCATGAATTGCCCAAACTGCAACAGTTGTGTATAGTTCTGGCTGGAAACCAAAATATACCAAATGTTATGTAGGCTAACCAACTTGTTGGTAATATTGTTTGACTGTACACTATTCTTTTGTAGATTCTTATAGTTTCTTGTCATGAAATACAGTAGGGCCTCAATCTCGAATTACTTGATATCTTGATTTTTTTTCATAATCTTGAAACTTCGGTAAATCACAATGTTAAAAATACCTTTATTAGTCAAAAGTTTAAATATTTAACCTTATAAGTCAAATTTTGACTTATTTGATTATTTGAGTAATCTGTAATACTTAATCCTAATCTCTTAATTTACTCAATCTCAATTACTCAAAGTTTTATCCTATACTGTGCAAGTCAACTGTTTTTTTTATTTTATTTTTGTTGAGCTGTGAAAATCCATCTTCTTTGTTTATTAAGCTAGTTCTGTTGTGTTTGCCTATTATTTATTGAGATTATTAAGTGCATGTCTGACGTCATGTCGTCAATGTACAATGTTGACACACGACACAAAAGAATAGTGATGTAGTAATTGTATGACAAGGTAATGAAAAAAGTTGAAATTGTTTGGGAATGTCGAATTCCACCTGACATCTCACACCGATGATATTGTAAAACCGGGTAAAGTATGAGCTTGAAAATGGATTGTTTGCAGACGTAAGTCCAAAAAATCAATCTCAATGTTCAACATAAATTTACAATTACTATAGAATAAATTAAGTACGGTGTATGTACTAATAATTGTGGTTTTTTTTCATCATACATTTTTTAAATAAACAAAGGAGTTATTCTTTGTTATTATATCGTAGTTTTTCATGTTCTGTTCAAAATCTATATTTCGTAATTGTTAACTTGAATTGTACCATGCAAAAGGTTTGACTTAAGTTCTTCCAAAATTACAATGCATATTAAATACTTTACTTAGTATTCGCAATAAATTGTTTATCTTGCTGCTACAGTTACTCTTCAGTATGTAGAAATAGCTTGAGCTAATAAAGGCATAGTGTGTCAAATTCGCGTTATGAAAATCGAGACTAACATCTTAGTTAACACTTCAGTTTCTCGAATGTTTGGTATTACACCTTGTTAACTCAAACCTCCTTGCTTACTCAAAAAACTTGATAACTCTAAATTTTATCTTTACCCCTTCAACTTCGAGATATAGAGGTCCTACTTTTTACTTTGTATGATACTTTTCTAACACTTTTTTGATTTGATTGTTTCAATTAAAGAAGTGTTTGAAATTAAGGAATACAATACTGTGAAATGCAATTTTTTTCTCTAATTGATATAAAAATTCTATGATACTAATGCTCAATTGTAGCCAAGTGGTTTAAATAACTTTTATTAGCTCTGGTTTGGTTTAAAATTATACTTTCTCAATTTCTTATCTATATAATTACTACAGAAGAAGCTTTAAAGCTAACAATAAAGCTGTGTTAAACAAATATTGCCAACTGTTGGATGATTTTGATTTAATCTAACTCTGGATAGTTGACAGAACTGTAAATTTAAACTAGCGAAAAAGATTGTGTGCAAATTTTAGTGACTGGTTCTAACTATGATTGAGTTATTCTGTAAGCTCCTTTGTGATCTTGTGTGCTTGTTTAATTTATCACCATGTCAAGTTAGTAAATGCTATTTATTTATGAATCCTCAATAAGTTTGAAACATAACTGAGTTATGTTTATTTTTTAAAGTATTATTTCGAGTAAAGCGCTTGTCATTAAGTAGCTTCCAATTTTACACAGAATGTTTTTAAAGAAAGCTTTAAGATAAACTTTATGTCTCAAGGGCTTAAAAAGTACAGTAAGAATGTTATACAACCTATTTAAAATTTAGTTTTTAGATTCTGTGATATTCACTCAGGAATGAGAGCCTTCAAAAAGTCAATGCTGACATTCACTTCCATGTTTTGATTTAAATTAAATAAAATGTGTCGCCTGTAAATCAGTTTACCTTTTAATGACTAATTTTATTACATCAGTGAAAAAATTCTACCATTAAAAAATGGCCTACTTTACTTAAAATAGTAGGAAAGACAATTGTTAATAATGGACCTCTATAATTTGTCATAGTTATAACAATGAGATTCCTAATATCATATTAGATTGATGTATTTAATTTATACCATTATTTTAAAATGTATTGTTTTTGAATGTCTATTTTATAATAAAATAGCAATTTTACTTGAGGTTTTGGTATTTTCCGTGTCCTCTTACAAGATAACTGCACTCAAGTCTTATCATTCGTTTATCTTTGTTATTTGTTAAATTTAACCAATTAATTCATCAGTATTTTTTTATCTGATGATAATCTATTCAAAAATAGTTAATTCATCATACCAGTTATCTTAAACAAAGTTTAGTATCATCGACATGATGGAAATACCTTGACATCAGTTACATTCATTCAGTAGATTGTTTTGTAAGCACAAAACTTGGGAAAAGGTCGACAATAACAAGTGACCTTGAATTCTGCTGATTACAGTTGGACTCAGCGAAACTGTGAGACCATTAGAATGAACTTGCTCACCATACAGTTTTTTTTAATGTAGACAGATAATTTGCTGACTTTGTGAATAGCTTCTTACAGTAAAATGTGTTAAATTCAATATTAAAAGGGCTAAATTAATTCTCCACAGGGTGTTCAAAAAAGATAATTTACTTATTGATTCCTCTGGTCAAAATAAAGAGAAAACCAAGAATACATTTCTTTCCAAAACCGCTTCCTAAACCAGATATCCGCCATTACATTATTACATTATATTACATTACCATAAAAGAGCAATGATTGACTTACAAAATATTGTAACACCAATCTCAAAATTTGTATCTCTTATATTTATAAAATTTATCCTTTTACTCAAACTCTCTGAGAGAAGCCAAGTAACCCACCACAGATAGTAATAGTATGCACATGGATAACAGTTTTTGAGGGTATTTTCCCAAGTTAAAGTCACTTGTTGTTTAAGCCAAGTAAGGGTTTGGCCTGCAGTTAAAAGGTTTTATACTTCAATTTATAAAAGAATCAACTTGCTTAGACTACACTAGGAGCTACTACGGATTTAAAAACACTTTTGCAAAGTATACATTGCAATAATAAAAATATTTTAAATAGTGAATTGGGCAATGTATAATATCTAGTTTTTTACTAATTTCAGGATATTTTTCACAAATGTTGGGCCTAGTGTGGAAGGATTTTTTCTCCATTGTTGGGAATTAAATTACAATGAATTTGAACTTTTATTGCTAACATTGACTTTTTTGAATCATAGAATTATAATTGTTTTCAATAATGAAGGTTAACTTGTATATTGTTGTTTTTGTATAGTCCTATAAGGTCAAGATACGTTAAAATTTATATATTTCGATTTCTCACTCTTAATTGCGAGAATGTTTAAAATTTGAATATACTGTAGACTCCATCACATTTAGCTCAGTTTATTTTGGATGACCACCTATATACGATGTCTATTTATGATGACCACTCGTACATTCCCTCAAACTACTCTTTTGTTTTAAAGTACACAAACAAACAAACAAGGTTAACCTGTTTGTGAAGCGCCTCAGTACAGATGATGTTTCCATAACTCTATATCCGGCAGATATAGGACCGTGATACTGTCGGATTAGTGAAAATGCCGGATTACTTGAATGTTATTAATAAAAACACTTAAAATGAACTTAACACACGTCTCCGGAGATCAAAAGATCGGAAACCGCTCTTGCCACGATCAGGCATGACGGCGATGACGCCTCCGTGACCGCGGGAGGCGATGATAAGGTCCAAACGGTCGCGGGAGATGTTCATGATTTTGCCACGATCGCGCAAGACGATGATGGCGTTTCCGTGACCGCGGGAGGCAATGATATTACACCAATGGTTTGTAGGTAACTGTATTTTAAAATAGAAATGATGTTGTTAAAAAACATTGTAAAAATATTATTTATATTACACTATGGGAATCAGTTTTTCACAACAATTATTTCTCTTATTGTAAACTACTCAAACAGTTCAATATATCTATGTTTCATGTAGTTTTTATCTTTTTTCAAAGCCTCTTGAAGATCTTCTTTAGTTTTGAATATCACATCTGCTTGTCCATTTGGTTTTCCTCTAGAGGTAAAGTGGAAGTCAATCCCAATTATTTCAATGGGGCTAAAAAACTGAAAAAGATAAAAAAATTTAATTCCGACATGCGTACGATTGGTAAATAAATTTATGTGATTGTGAAATTTTCAATGTTACTAGTCTACATAAGTATGTATCTCCTGTAGTCCAGAGAAATTTATTGAGAATGGATCTAGAATTTAGTAGAAATCTAATGCCTTGCATATGTCCCTTTTATACAATGTTTTTCACCATTTTCATCATAAAAAAACATTTTACAGAGTGTAAGAGACATTGGCAATAATTCTGTAAAATATACATAATTTTTGCCAACCTTAAACAACGTAGACAACGATTTTATCCAGCCAAAGTTAACAATAAATTAACATTACCTATTTCAGGGGTCTCCAACCTTTTTTACTCAAAGGCTACATTGACAATTTTCAATTTTTGGATGAAAGGTGGGCCGGACCATCAACTTTTTAATGTAGATAGGTAGCTCACCTCCAAATAACGCACAAAGAGGTATTTTTATATTTAAGAGTTCAGCGATGAAGTTTGAATATTTCTTGGTAATGTTTTGAGTTGATATAAAACCTGTTGACTAACTAAAATTCTGAACGTTTTTGTGTGAATTATACTGTGACCAAACAAAATAATTTACCTACCTCACATAATTATTTATGGGTATATAAAATGTGTTTTGTCATATTAATTTATACTTTGTCATTACATTAGGCTTATGATTATTCAAATTCATAAGCAAGTTAATATAAATTAATTTACAGTATATTTACAATGATATTAGTATTTGTTCTATTATAGATATTTTTAAAAAATGGCTATCAATAGCAACAAAATTGAAATACTACAAAGCATTTATATTTCCACAAATAACATATGCAAGTAAAACTATATTTAAAACAACTAACACTGTAGCAATAGATAAAATACTAAAAATAGAAAGAAGAATCATCAGAACATGTATAAACCAAAAATATCAAAAAGATGGAGTTTGGAGACTGGCCTCAAATAAAACTGTATATAAGGAAATAGAGCCAGTGACAAGTATAATTAAAAAGAAAAGAATTTCATTCATTGGACATCTTTTAAGGACACCGGAAAATAGAATAAGCAAGAAAATAATTGACAAGTTGTGGAATAGCAAGAGTGACTTTAGGTGGATTACAGAGATTAAGGAGGACATGAGAAGGTTGAAAATATCATTAGAAGATTTGGAAAATAAGTCAGAGGCGCTTGCAGTACTCAAAGACAAAAATATCATCCTGCCAATAGGAGCAAACAATCAGAGACAAGGAAGAGTGGTTTCGGAAGAAGAAAGAAAACAACGGTCGGAAAGAATGAAGAAGTATTGGGCGGACACAAAGAATATACAGAATTTAAAAAGAACCTAACCATTATATTGACTTAAAAGTTCCAATGCTGGCCATAAAATAATAATAATAATAATAATAGATATTTTTAAGTAGGACTGATGAAAACACAGGATGACACAAAACCAAATATTTTTTATGTACTACTGAGCTAACTTGATTGAATATTTAATTGTTACAACGATAAGAATAATTGACAATGAATTGTATGGCTAAAATTAACAGAAATTTTTAGGGAGAATTTAGAATTTTGTAGTTGCCACTTTAAGGTCAGCCAAATCAGGGTTAATGTTTGTTGTCCTGATCCTTCAAGGATTGTTTTCAATTGAAAACAAGGGTCAATTAGGTTCAACGAGGTTCAATTAGTTTGGAAGATCTGTATTAAGATGGTGTGTCACTTGGCTCCGGCCAATCACATGCTTACAGCTGATTTTCTCTTATTGAAAAAAAATTGGAAAGTGTGAGATAGGTGTCACATATTTAAACTGGGCAACTGAGTAGCCAGCCAACCTGGGCACAAAGAATTGTACTTGAATTCGGTATGGACCAAGGACTACAATGATCACCAATAGCCAATTATCAAGTCTCAATTCCTTGATGCCGTTCCATTGGTTTTCTTTTAACATCATGAGTATAGGCATAAATCATGATCAATGGAGAGATCATCACAATATTACTGATACCGCAAGAGATTTTCAACGTGCAGTCGGGATCGCGGTATCCCCGAGACTGCACGAGACGCGAAAGACGATCAAGTATTCACCGAGACGGCAACTCATGGGTATTTTCGCGACCGTGAGTGAGGACCACGGTTTTGCCTAGCTGCCACGATCCCTAAAGACGATCATGCTATCACCGAGACCGCAACATTTAATTAAGGGTAATGCCGCCACCGTGAGTGACGTGACGACCAAGATATTGCCGAGTTGCCGCGATCAGTAATGATGATCATGAGATCACAGAGACTGAAACAGTTACGTAGTGGTGTTGCCGCAACTTTGACGATCGTCAACCTATACCAAATATATATAACAAAACTATTTCCCAGTAGACCTTCGCGGGGCCGTAGGTTGGAGATCCCTGACCTATGTCATAAAAACAAAATTTAAAATATACACCTGTTTAACAGTTCTAAGGCTAGGTTTACTCAATTATTTACAACTTTTGAAGCACTTTATAAAATTTGGTATGAACATGTAAATCTACGTTATTTTGAACAAGTTCTGAAACCAGCATGATTGAATAACCGGGGTTCGGGAAGGGTTTTATGGGTAAAAATCTGTTTTCCCATTTTTGACTCCAAAACATGAAATGTTGTAATTTCTTTCAAAACCATTTTGTAGAGCCTAAACAAAACTTAGCACACTGAAGCGTTGTTGTATGCTTACCGGTTATAGAGAGAAAAAAAAGTGTAAATAAAAAATGCTCATGTTTACTCATTAAATTGATTGTTTGTTTAAAGTAGAGGTTAAATCTGACAACTTAAAGAAAATATTGAGTAAAAATCTATAAAGGCAAATGGAAATTCGCTTAGTCTGCAGGTTTGCTGCGGCAGGTGTGTTTAGTTTTATATCTGTTTGACTACTACAGTATACTTGTTCT